TCTCTCTCACACACACACACACGCACGCACACACACACACACACACACGCACACACACACACACACACATACACACACTCACACACACATACACACACTCACACTCACTTCCCCCTTCCGCTTCATTGTGTTCGGGAGCGCTTCCCCCCCTGGGCTACTAGACAATGACATGTTCGATGCTCTGTTTCTGCTCGTCGTATTTGATTGTTTCCGAAATACCAAAGGCTCATAAATAAAAGAAGCGCAAGTTGATCACGTTGGCACGGTGTGCTCGAGCGTGTTTGCAACTTTTTAGGCATAGGATGTCGATGCTGGTTGCGTATGCGATTTAATTTTGATGCGGAGGTGTTCTTTTGCTACGTTTAGGGGCAATCTGTGCTACAAGAAACAAACACACAGACCAATTTTATGAGAAATCCCAGACAACCCAAGTACATAATTTACCTTTCTCACTTGTGCAAGATCCTGGTCTGTTATTTTGTTTTGGAAAAGTGTTTTTGTTGGAGATTATCGCTGCTGTTTTGGGATCAGCATTATTTCTTGTAAACAACGCGCGCTGGCAGCCGAGCTATGAACAGTAGGCAAAACTAAAAACTACTTGCTTTAGTCCTGCATTAAATGGCCGTTGTGCCAGTGTACTCCCGTGTGTGTGTACTTGCACATACAACAGACAACTGTCGTGTGCCTCTCGCTTGTCGGTTCTATATACTTCTTTTTGTTCCATTTGCTGTATCTATTAATTCATCTTATTTTTCCCACGGCACCAAACGATCGCTATTATGCCGATTTGCAACTTTTTATCAAAAGTCTCAACTGCTGTTGGGAGGCACTCAAAAGGTCAAACCTTTTCTCTTCGCGTTCTATTTTTGTCTTTCGTCATTATTATGTTTTCCTGCTGTCATACAATTGTGACGTTGGCACACTTTAAGAAATCTATTTTTAGATGATGGTGTGCGATCAGCACGCTAACATTTCTAGAAGATGCCACCTGTAGGTTTTACTTTTCTTCTTTTCCTGTCTCATTTCTACGTCTTTGTTTTCCTTCACGCGCGTGGCAAGAGAAAAGCAGATTCTCATCGCCATTCTTTCCCCGCTCCACATCACCTTACAAAAATCCCGATATCTGCGGTTAAAAAAACCCCCATAAAAACCCCGAACACCTAACAAACAAATAAAACCTCACGAAAACTGTTTTCCCAAAAGAGAATTAAAAAGTCGAGAACAAAGTAGAACAAGCAAAAAACTAATACCTGAAATGCCCC